TATCCACATCCAACAGCATTTGAATTTGATTTTAATTAACATTATTGCAACGGCACGGCAATGGTCATGACGACTTTGCCCCGCATACTTTTTGCTGTAAAATTTAAAAGGTACCGTCATGCAATGGAAATAGATATGGATTAGATTTGGTACATGAGTATGCGTTAATACTGTTACCCAGGGTAACCGAGGTGTTAAATTGATGACAAAGTGTTAGATTTTAATTAATATGTGCTATGAAGCAGTTACGTGGCTTACGTGATAAAGAAAAACTTTATGAACTTTTTCACAGTTTTCTCATTTTATTTTTTCCCTCTAAGTTTTGTTAGTACTGCCTCTCTCAGTAGCGCCGTCGTTGCGAAACCATATTCAGTCAGTATCCAGTATTGTTTTTCAATCAAAAAATTTCAGAAGCCAATTTAAATTTATACAATGATATTAAGCAGGTCGTCGACAAGGACACAAAATAATCCTTGCCTCAAAAATTAGCATCTTAATTAAAACGAAACTTTTCTGGTACTCTGCCTGTTAATACTGTTAACCCATTTTTATTTTATTACGAATTTTGACCTATTTCGGATTACCTAAAAGCAATTAAAAACTTTTCTAAGCCCACCACTTTGCTTGCAAATAAGCAATACAAATAAATAAATAAATAAATAAATGTTTAATGGAAATATATCTCGACCAGAGGAAGTTGGAAAGTTGGAAAGTTGATGTAATAAAGAAAACCATTGAAAAGTGAAGCCACAAATGGCACAACAATTACTTTGGACATTTAAATGACGAAAGTGATAACAACTTCAGCGATTAGTAAGCTTCGTCACTGCTCAGCGTAAGCCGCAACGTAGCACACTAAACACTTAAGCTGAGCAGTTTGGAATATTGGATGGGAAATACAATCATACAGTTGTTTCCTTTCCGGTAGGTGGGGAGGAAGGTAGATTTACAAAGTGTGCTACAGATTGTTTTTTCAGTGATGGTGACGAAAGATCTAATTGTGGTTGTGACTGTGAATGCAATTTCATGTTACGAACTCCTAAAGGTGGTGGTGGTGCCGTGCGTAATTTGTTTGGTTTAACTGGTCTTTTGGGAGGCAAAGGTGGTGGTGGTGGAGAAGTTGAGGCACGACAAGATAAGGAAGTGTCACTGCTACGTCGAGAATCGAAAAATGAAGTGTTACTGTAGATAGCCTCTTCTTCTATTGTGGAATATATTTCTTCAGCAGTCTCATAGTATGAGGATGCATTAAAGGTACGCTGCAGTGATGAGGTGGATGAGTCAATTGAGAAACTGGAGGATGTGCCAATGGTGGAAGAAGAGACACCTAATGATTGTGAAGTGTTTTGATAATTGTTACTACTAATTTTCAAAAGTGAAGAAGTCGAAATGGGTTCACTAGAGTTTTCTGCAATTATTTCAGATATTGCAGGAAATTGCATTGATATGTACGATGGAGTAGTTGGTGTTGATGGCGTAACAGTTGTAGTAGCTTTTGGAACAGTTGTTGTTGTACTGTAGCTTGTCATTATGTTAGCGGAAGGTAAAACCACCTTCGGAGTTTGATTTATATTGATAGTAGGTGTATTTGGTGTTGCGGGAATATCAGGATGTTGTTGTAGCCCATTGGGTTCACTCACCAAAGCACGTTGATTTAATTGCATTTGTGTGGACTGTACTGGATTCGGCTGTGGCGCTTGTTGTTGCTGTACATAGAATGCAGTTGATGTAGGACTACTGCCGGTGAAAAACACTGGCGTTGAAGCAAGCGATGGTGATTGTGATGTGGAGGAAGAAAACTGTGTTTGTGGCAGTAACACATAACCACCTATACTAAGGAGGGGTTGTTGGGTAGTTGTATTAAAAGTATTTGTACTAGTTGATAGGATTTGTCCTGTGAGGACATGTGTAGTGTTAGGTTGTTGTGGCTGTGGTAAGTTTGTGTATTGTACAGGAAGTATTTGAGCTGTGGGAAAAATTTGTGATGGTGACGGATGGCTTATAAGTGAAAACGTTGGTGTTACTGATGAAAAATCCAATCGCTTCTGCGGGTTAGCATTTGAAATAGGGGAAGAAATAGAGGCATTATTAGTAGTTGAAGATTCGCTGTCACAAATTGAACTACTATCACATGCTACATTAGCTGAGAGAGGCAAAGTGGGTAGTGGTGGCAATGGTAAGTCAATATTATCATCTGAACTATCTAAAAATGGATTTACCGATTTGTTGATGCCTGCATACGCCGGCACTGCTGGAGCATTTTCGTTGGGTACACCTAATTCTGGAACCAATGTTTTGCTACGTAATTGATTACGTAGATCATTTTCCTTCAAAAGTATGATGCGATGTTCTTCTTCAGAAACCAGTATATTATTTGGAGAGTTCTCATGTATAAATTCATGCGGACGTTTTTGAGCTGGTGGAATTTCAGGAGCTAATGGTGGCAATACTTCAAGATAGTGAGGTTCATCCGCTGTGCTTGAAGGAGAAGTTTTCTTTGGCATTGTGGAAAAATTAATTGGAGGTGGTGGCGGACTTTCACGTGGACGTAAAGGACTACGCGGTGTAGAAACTCTCATAGGTAATTTATTTGTTTGAGAAGCTGGTTGCGTGACTGGAGTTTGCGGTCTGTGAACCTCTTGTATTGTGTTTGTTGTAATATCGTGCTCAAATACAGCGAAATCACCATGTCCAACGTCGGTATTTTGAAATGTTTCCAATGCATAATTATGAACAATTTCAGCTTTTTTTAGTTTCGGTTTCGGTAATAATGGTGGTGGGATTTTAGGTTTAGTACCGGTTGAACTTGCAACTAGATTTCCAGTAGACATTGATTGAGCATTAGAAAACATTGTAGGAGAAGAACGGGTATTATTTATCGAACGATTGCTTGACAAAAGATCTTCATTTGATTTTGAACCCGAACCAAAGAAAAATTGCTCACGTGGTGACTTTAAGGCAACTGGCGATTTTGATATTGCTTTTGCTATTTCAGTATATTCATCAGTTTTACTCTTGTCTAAATAAGCTTCACGGAAGGGATTATCTCTTTCAATTTCAGTAGATACTAACACTTTTTCGGGTGGTGGTGGCGGACTTCTATAACCTTTATTTGAAATATTTGGTGATGGTGAACGCATTGCATGTTGAAGTACGGGCGAATCAATTTCTTTTATTCGAGCTACTGTGGGAGTAATAGTTGTTGGTTTCATTGGACGGTTCGATCTTTCTAATGTTGAATTATTAGAAGAGGACGGACTCGAAGATCTCAAAATACCTTTACGCGGATAGCGAGTACGAGCGGTATTGTATTCTTGTTCTGAGTCATAAAACCGATTATAACTTTCTGGTGTACGTGAACTTTCGTAATCTGATTTTGATCTTTCATCACCGCTTAAATCAAAGCTAACAGATTTTCGATGACCCCCATAGGATGTTGAAGATAAGTCAGGTGAACTGCATTGCTTACCATAACTAGGTCTGTACGTTTTATAATCACTTTCAGAATCACTTGTATAACGTGGCATGGAACGTGCTTTCTCATAGAAATCGGAGTCAGTATCTATTTGATCTGGTGTATTAGATGTTAGTATGTTCGATTCTTGCTCAGATTGATTCTCATAAGCATCTACATCATCGTTATTATCAATGTTATTGTCTACATCGTCATCATCATCGTCGTCGTCGTCGTCGTCGTCATCGTCATCATCAATTATATATACAGCTTCAGCTTTTGTGGCCTTTTGTTTTAAATCTTCAAGAGCGCCATCTTTCAATATACGTTGATTTTGCACCATTTTTTTATATTCAAAGCGTGGATCATCTTTTCGATTCTGATAAGTTGCATCAAAATTTTTTAAATTTTACAATATTTTAGCAAAAATTATTTATTGTTATTCTAAAAATTGTGCTATTAGCTCAACAGAAACAAAAGATTTTTTTCACAAACATATACAATAATTAGACTAAATGCGTTCAGATTTGCATATATTTGTGTGCTGAGACTTTATGGAGTTGTTGTGTGAGACCAATATTTTTGTGCATCTATGTAAGTGGGTTAATGTCTTGGAAACATTGTTAAAGCACAGATGAATGCTTTAATGCCAGTGAATTTTAAATGTGCAAAAATGAGTCGAAACAACACAAACTTGATAATGAAACAGTAAAATGTTCTGAAATTTTTTGTACGTAAACCAATTCCACTTACCAATCTTAAAACACTTTTAAAATAAAATTATAAAACAGTAACAAAAGGATTTTATTTAATTTGATTTGATTTGTCAAATTTTTTAAGTGAAAATAGAAAAGCTGAAGCCAAAACAATAACAAATTAAGCAAACGATTCACAAATATGCAATTTACCTAAGAACATTTACTAATAGAACTCAGATAAACTGTCGTATCTCTACTCAAAATGAATTCTTAAATGAAATCACTTTAAAACAAAAGACTTTTATTGTTTTAATATTTAATAAATTTACAAAACAATTTATTCTTACATCTGATGTCGGAAATTGAAATGATAAAAAAAAATTACATTAAGTTAACTTGACAAACAGTTTACGTTAGTTTATCATATAATAAATTCCAAATTTATTTATTTTTTTTTTTTGTAATAGTAAATTTATACCAACAATAAAAACATTTAAATTTTTTTTTTAAATATTAACAATCAATTTTTTTTTTATTATTTATACAATATTGGACCATAAATATTTATTTATTTATTTTTTTTAACAATTAACGAAAATTTTTAAAGGAAATATTTTCCCAATAAAATTCGTGCTGTTACATTATAGGAAGGATTTTTTATTGTTTTCATTACTAATAAATTTTTAATTTGCCTATATATGTACATATATACACCAACAACAATTTAATTGAGATAATTTTGTTTAAGACTCAAGATATGCAATTGAAAACTTTAAAAGGTGCTTGTTGAATTTTTCATATTTTTTATCATCATTATTACAAGTTTTTTTTTCTTTTTTTGGAAATTTAAAAAGGATAAGAATTCTTTTTTATATTAATAAGAAATCATAATCAAAAGAAAGCTATTCATCTATTTGTTAGGAACTATATAGTTTCCATAGTACTTTAAAATAATAAAAAAAAAATATATATAATACCATTTGAAATTTTACAAATTTCAAAAAATTAATATTTCGCATTTTATAAGATTTTAAAAGGATCCATTTAACTATATCAATAGAAACCTACTTTATCAGGATATTTCATACATCACTTATTTAAGTATCAATATTTGAGACATATATTTTACTGTAGAAGTTTCTTAAAATATTTAAATTAGGGATAGTAATTAATAGTTGCATTTTGTTTTTAATCATATTATCAAATAATTTTTGAAACCATTGAAATATTTATGACACTCAGGGCATATATAAGTATATTGCAATAGTACTGAGTCAAACGGATATGAGTTCCGTTCTACTTATTTATATTTGTATATATAAATGCATATAGTGATTTAATATCTTGTATAGTATAAAATATTTATTGTATGAGAGAAGGAAACAACACTTTGTACACATAATACAGTTTTCTAATTGAATAGAAAATTTACTTGACACTCAACAACAAATTTTAACAAAAGAAAATTTTTGTTATATTTTAAGTCACATTTACATATAATTATTTTTATTTTTTTTTTATTTAATAAGTTTAAGCTTCAAGAAAAGGAAAAATATTTCCTCCGTTAAACTAAGTATTCATCAGTCTTATAGTTAAAAACATCCGCTTGTTAAGCAAGACTTTGATCAGAGTTCTGCAATGAAATCGGCATAAAGAGAAGAACAAAAAGAAAGAATCGAAAAAGGAAGAGAATTGTTATATTAAATAAAAAATCATAGTTTTTTTAAATTTAGAAAATTATTTTAATTTTATGTATGCAAAATTTGTTAAAGTACACATCAAAACGACAGCCAATTAAGAATTTTTAATTTAAAATTGAAAAAAAATTGAAGAAAATTGTAAATTCATACTCGGAAAAAATACACAGAGATATATATAGAGAATAAAATTAAATTTTTAGTTTAACGGGAATCAGTTAAATACATAAGTATATATACTAAGCGAAGGATTATATAAAATTTTCATGCTTACACATATAAATTAATAGAATAAAATTAAAATAGAAATAGTTATTAACAATTTTAATTTGAATTGTCTAAAATATGATTATTACTTTAAATTTAATAGTTTTATATCTTAATACTTAATGTATGCCTTGCAATTGATTAATATATAAGGAATTGTTTACATATTTGTTATTTTTATTTAATACTCTGCCACTTATTTATTTTATTATTGGCGTTATAAATACATACAATATTTCTTTTATATTTTGTTTTATTAATTTATAATTAAATTTATATATATATATTGATTTTATTGTATTTTCATTTTATTTATTTATATATATTTTACGTTATTATATTTTTTTCAAATTTTTTATTTTTTACAAATTTTTTATTTTTTTTATTTTGTTTTTATTCATTTTATTTTTTTTTATTTTTGTTTATTTATTTCTTTTTGTTTTTATATTTATTTTTATTTCTTTTTCAATGTTCTTTGTTTTTTTATTAATTTTTATTTTATTTATTAATTTTTTGAATTTATTTTTTATTTATTTTTAATTTAATATATTTATTTTTAATTTATTATTTTAATTTTATTATTTTTATTTTTTTATTTAATTTATTTTTATTTTTTTTATTTATTTTTTATTTACATTTAATTTATTTATTTAAATTTATTATATTTTTAATTTATTTTCATCAGTTTTAATTTATTTATTTATTTTTATTTATTTTTTCATTTAGTTTTAATTTATTTTTTTATTTATTTTTATTTATTTGTTTTTTTTTTTCATTTTTTATTTATTTTTAATTTATTTTTTATTTATTTTTCATTTAGCTTTAATATATTTTGTATTTATTTTTTTTTATTTTTAATATATTTTTTATTTATTTTTTATATTATTTGTAAATTATGTTTAATTAATTTATTTATATTTAATTTCTTTTCAATTAAATAATTTTTGAAATTTAATTTTAATATAATTTTTATTTTCATTTGTATTATGTTATTTATTTTAATTTTTTTACCTTACTAACAATGTGACATAGTCTTAGAAAGGGGGAAAAGGGTCTAAAATAACAATAACTTGCGCTGCGTAATACTTAAACGTTTCTAATAATATTAACTATGGTAAAATATTTTACTACAAAAATATATTTAAATAAATAAAAACTAATTATCACTTAATATATTTTTATTGTTTGAAGGCTTTTTGTGGACCTAAAAAATTCAGTTGTTATAACGCTCCATCCTGAACACAAAATCAATTTTGATATATAGATGTATTTGTAAATGAAATAACTATAAAAATTAATTAAAAAAAGAAGCTTTCCTTATATAAAGGTTACAAAGAACCTTTAAATAACAATAGAATTATTATCGATATAAAAAATAAACTCAAAGCAATTAATATATTTTAAAATAAAATAAAATTTAAAAAAAGAAATTATTTTCACCAATTGATTGATTTTACATCTGATATAGATAAGTACTTCTTACTTTAAGAATGAAGCCGTAGTTCAAATGTGCCTATAAATTAAGGTACAAAAATACGAAGAATTAGATTGCAACCAGTCTATATGTAGTATATATATAGATCGCTTCATACGACAGAGTCAGTACTTATGGAATTTTTCAAACCAAATCCAGAAGGTATAAAAAATACATTGTTATTATACATTCAACGATGACAAGCAGAAGTAACAAATTTCGGACTGACTGAGCATAGTTCTAGTTTCTCCGACCAACGTCAAGAACCTCAAATCAGCGTGAAATAAATAATATTTTGTTTGATATTTTTGGAAAAAAGTCTGTTTATAATTAAATGACTGACTATATTCCCGATATGAGAAAAATTTGGTCAAAGTAAGGTCCTTTACCAACTTTCAGCTCTCCATAATTCAAAGTTGTTTTCAGTCCCTTGATTAAATAATTTCATATTGAATTTATTGTTACAGCCCGAAAGCAAATCCACAATATTAGTGGATTTGATGATGGGAAGTAGGATTAATGGGTGAGAATAAGATTCAATTATAATTTAAAATAATGAAAAATAATTTAATAACAATATAAACATTAAACATAAAACTGTATAATTTAAATATTGTCTACAAATAATTTTTGAAATATAAAACTAGACGAAATACTTAATTTTTTTTTTTTTAAATAAATTTATAATAATTTTTTCTTTAAATAATATGGTGTGATCAAAATATAACAATAATTTTAAAAATACCCTCCCGGTACCATTTTTAATAAATGGAGTCTTTTTGTGTATTGGTTGCACCTTAAATGCTGCAATGTCAATTTGTGTCGGATTAAAATTTTTTGTTAAAAATAAAATTATTGCAGCGAAGTATTTGAAATGTTAAACAAAAAAGTTTGAAGAAGTAATAAGCACTTTCAAAAATACATTTATATAAATATATTGCTAGATCTGAATATCATTAACAAGACCATCAATAATTGAAACGCGGAAAAAATTTATCAATTTGTACTTACTAATAGATGAGTTACTATTTATGTGCTAAGAAGAAGAGGTCGTGCCATATCATGTCATAAGAGGTCATAGAATAGGTTATATGGCTCTTCTCAAGCGATTTTCATAACAACAGTTTCTTCAACAATTCAATACGATAAAGAACATTACTGTAATTGAAACCATCTGTTACTTTAAATGAGAAGGTTCTCAACATTAAAAATGAAACACGGAAAATCTTAGAGCGAACTCAAGACGTTACAATAGTCTTTTCAATCGCTGGAAATGGAAATTTCGATCGCGTAAGTACATAATATCAAAAGTCTACGGACTACTTTAAAGTTAATGAAGTAGCATTACATTATAAATAAAATTAAAAATTCTCATTACTTTTTGATCACACCTTATACACTTATATACTAATTTATTTGAACTAACAACCAAATTTTTTAATTTAAAATGCTATTTATTATATTAACAAAAATTATGAGTAACTTAGTTTTTTCATTATTTTGTTACCCTAATTTTTATTATAGAGAAATATGTTAGAAATGTTGTTATGGCAGGTATATTTCTTGTTGAAACATATTTTAATATCAATTGAAATACTACAAAAAAAAATCTCTATGGTTAGTTTTATGAGGTGTATTAACACGTTTTTTTTATTTTCCACACATATAATTCAAATCATAATACAACTAATTTTAAACACAAATATAAATAACATCATTATATATTTTATATTTAGTTTCTGTATTTTTTTCCTTTAATTATATTTATTTTTAACTTACTAAAACCAAAAGCACTTACTCAAGTAGCTTTTTCCAACTGTCTCAAGCACTGACACACTTTTCATACTTATGATGTACTTATAAAACGATTTTGCTAAGGTCTAACCTTTGCAAATAAGTAGGCTTTATATGGAACATTTAGTTTTTAATTTAAAATTTTTTTACTATACAAAAAAAAATTTTTATTTTCCTTAAATTTAGTTTTAATTCTTCAATACGGTGCTTACGAATTAAAAAGAATTTTTAAAAAAAACGTAAAATAAAACACACAATTTTTTTAAATCGCAGAATATTAACTTTGTTTTTAAGAATCGTAATACCTATTCCATATTGCGAAGGAAACATATAACGTCTTACTAACCCCACTATTCGAAATTAAGTTCCATTTTAGAAAAGCAAAATAAATCAATAACAAAACAATTGACAATAAGGCAATAAGGCAACACTGGCAACATAAAAAAATTTAATTAGATTTTTCCAAAAATTTTTTTAAGATTTGCAGTACCGTGAAATGAGTACGAAAACACAAAAAAAAAACAAAATCAAGAACAATTATTATGAAGAATGACATTTAAAGTGCAGACATGAATTTTATACATAACTATAACTAATAATAACGATAATTAACGAACATTTTTAGACAAATTACGTGAATTAGAGACGAACACTAAAATAATAAATAATTTATTAAAAATAATGTAACACACAGTGAATGAAAAGTGAATGTTTAAATTGGGTTAAGTTTAACATTTTCCAGTACATTTAAGTGTCTTTTAACTTTGTTTAGAAATTTTATTTAACGATATATGCACAACGACATATAGTGACAATGCAACAACACAAAACGGTTATGATAAAAAAATAAACAAAAACTAAGAATTTAAAATTTAACATACCTGTTCATTTTGCTGTTGTGGCATTTCCGGTTGTTTTTCATTTGTAGTAACTTTAGAACTCTTTGAAAGGGACGACTCTGTAGGTTTTGTAGTCACAGTTGGAGATATAGGCGGCACTGTAGCTGTTGCAGCTGGTGGTGTGGCTGCGTGTGATGTTGGTTGTTGTTGTTGCTGCTGCTGCTGTTGTTGTTGTTGTTGTTGAATAGGTGGATTAGTATCTAGTGTGTGCTTCGATATAACAACTGTTGTAGTCTTTTGAATTTTATCTTGGTCATGATGCTCAGATGGTGATTTTGGTGGAACTGTGGTAAATGCATCAGCAGCACGAACAATTTCTAACACCTGTAAAGTTAAGCATTTAATATTATAAAATTATTTTATTTTTTTTTTAAATTAGCATTTAAAAAAAAAAATCAGATAAAATATATAAATTAAGAATTGAATTACCATTTTTTATAAATTTATTATTTATTAGAAATTATAATAAAATGTGATATAATATAATAAAATACAATATAATAATTATTTATTATTAATTTAAAATTTAACATACATTGTGACCGAAAAGTTTTCGGAAATTCTCATTTAAAATTCGCGCGCTGTATATTTTTCGATATTTTAAGTTTATGTTAGTTTGGCAGCACTGTCCTTAATTACTATGCCAAAATGAGCGCGATCTGTCAGACAGTTTCGTTTACGGCAGTTTGAACCAGTTCACCTCCAGTAGTGCGTTGCGAAAAAAACAATGGAAAAAAATATGAACAAAGAGTTTGCATCAAAATTTTGTGTTTCGAACGAAATTTCGTGTGCAGAATCGTTGCGAATGCTACAAAAGGCTTTATTGGGGAATCAGTTTTATCGAAAACTCAATTTATGAGTTGGTTACAAAGCCTTTCAGGACGTTCGTACGACCGTCGAAGACATGCCGAAAAAACCACGCCAAAGGTCGCTCGAAATCAAGGCAATGCTGATTGTTTTCTTCGATATTCGTGGTGTGGTGCATCATGAATTCGTCCCTGAAGGACAAACAGTCAATAAAGCCTATTATTTGACTGTTTTAAGACGTTTGCGTGAAAATATCCGCCGTAAACGGCCTCAATTGTGGAAGGATAATTCATGGATTTTTCATGACGATAATGCTCCCTCGCACCGAGCCAACATTATCAACGATTTTAAGGCCAAACATTCAATAAATACCATCGAACAGCCCCCGTATTCACCTGATCTTGCACCGTGTGACTTTTTCCTGTTTCCCAAACTCAAATTACCACTCAGAGGAACGCGTTTTGAATCCATAGAAGACGTAAAACAGAATTCGCAGAGGAAACTCAAAGCCATACCGGAAAGCGCCTATAAAAAATGTTTTGATGATTGGAAGAAACGTTGGCATTTGTGTATCGCTTCTAATGGAGCATATTTTGAAGGAGATAAAATAAATATTGATGAAGATTAAGAATTTTGCGTTTTATTTAAAATTTCCGGAACCTTTTCGGTCACAATGTATGAGAAATTTTCTGTTCTAAATTTATCTGATTTTATCTCACGCATTTACTACTTCTATTTCAAAGATATAATTGGATTTGATTATTTTATGACTTGATTATTTCTGTATATTTCTCTTGACGATTCAGATAATCATATTCATCATTTTTATCCAGATTTTATTTATTCATGTTTTTTTTTTTTTGTATTAAGTTGATTCACTTCTGCAGATGATGGTGATACTTTCCCTGTTTTTTTTTCAATTTCTTACTCTAATTAGTAAATGCTATCAACGTTTCATTTCTGCTGTAAAGATTTTTTTTCTTTTTTTCATGGTTTGGTTATTCATTCCTAGTACTATACATCGAACTTTTTCTAAATACAACATCGTCAGTATGATTTTAATGGCATTTCTTATAAATGTTTTTTCATAATTCCTAGCATTTAGTAAGCTGTCCGTTCTGGTTGCTCTCTACATTCTATGGTACAAACCGTACTCCATTGATTTTCTATTGTTTGCATTGCTCCTTTTTGGTCCGTGCAATATTCTATCCGTCCACATTCTCTAAAATGCACTCTGCGGTTTTCTTAACAGCATTTTGTGAAATATTTCACTGGCTCGTTGCATATTTTGCCACATTCTCTTGGTACTTTCCACATTTTTCCTTTAATATTCTGTTACAGGCTACTTCTATTAGCTTATACTAGGTAAATAATTATAAGGATTATTCTCTACTGCTACTTTTTTAAACACACTGCGTTTTAATCAAAATTCCTCGCAACTCATTGCACGCAACGTGTAAAACTGACTATTGGAATTAAATTTAATTTGCAGCATGAGGTCAAATATTTGTTTTCAAACTCTTTTGTTGTTCATTTTTATTATAGCTTAGCTTACACGAGCCTTACTTACAATTTCTCTCACCCTTTGACTTTCTGTATGCAATACCATAATAATACTCAAACTAATCTTTTTAAACTTACTTTCATGTCCTTGTAATGTTCGGCGGTAGTCCTTCATGCCTTCATTCAAGATTTTCAACTCCAGTTATTTACTAAACTGGCGATGGTACTCGCTACACGTTACTCGTTACTCGCTACTCTTTACTGCTACTTGCTATTTGCTACTCGTCACTTCTTTTATTTTTCCTTTTTTTGGTAAGTTGTAACTTTCATCGTAATTTAGCCTTTGTTTTTATTATTCATTTCTTGAATGTTCCTTTTTTTCCTATATTGTGTTTTGTATTTCTTTGGCAATCTAATCTGACTTTTGTACGAAATTTGTCTGAAATATGAAAAAGTTTATTTGATATTTCCGTGACCATTATAATTAGTTATGCGGTCGTAATAATGCTGACCATAATAAAGGATTAACATGAAATTTGTGCTATATGGCGCAGAGCACAGAGCACATCTCACTGCTCATATTTGTCCATATCTATGTATGGGATTTGACGTACGTATTTAAATATTAACGACCAAAAATGAAATTAAATTGCATTGAATTTTTGTGGATTTTGCCACACAACATATTATTTTTCTGTGACATTCTGTAATGGAAGGCTATAACGAAAAAAACTCAATATATCAGTTTTCTATCTATCTGTGGTTTACTCCAGCATAAATTCATACAAATGGGATTATTAGTTCTATATTAAGCACTGCACATAAAAAAAATAAGTGCAATCAAACATTTTTTGATCTTTTGCATTGCACTGAAGAATGGAGGTTATGACATGTCAAACATTTTTCATATATCGATTTTGTAAAAGTAGGTTGCGGTCTTTACAGGCCTTGATAAGGGATATGTGATAAAACGCTAGAACTAGTAGTAATACAATATGAACGAATTAATTTATTAATTGAAAATCTCAATATTAATATCAAAATGAGTTCTGTCCACATGGACTCTTATTTCAGAATTATTAACAAATATTCAGAAGTATTTAACAAATACATTCTGAAGCAACGAAAGTAAAAAAATTGTTGCCCAGAGATGTGATCGAATCCAATTTTGTCAATCCATTGTTTCGAAGAGTTTTTGGTAAAAACTTAACGAATGTGATCTATCAAGCATCATATAGTACTTAACTGCTATGATGTTCTATTACTCTCCACTTCTCCCGAGGTGAGAGGACTTTTAAGTCGCTTTTCGGCATAAAAGAAAATTTTCTGAAGATTTTGAAGGCAATACCTCGATCTGCTTACGAAAAATATTTACAGAAATGGATCGAATGCTGTCAAAGTTGTATTGAATTCGATGCAGCACACTTTGAAGGCAACAAAATTAATTTTTCTTTGCAA